ATAAAAGTTAAGAAAACTATTAAATAGTTAACTATTTGCACACAACTAAATTGTTGAGTAAATCATCACCCTTAAATATAGTCAACGCAAAAATTATATATGTTCTGCAAAAAAAGATATTGAAAAAAATGTGGGATCATATTAATGTACAAAAAATATCTTTGTATGGTTCATTAATTAAAGAATGTTTTATACACATGTAGACTGTAATTATTTCTAGTTTTTAGGTTGTCACATTCATTATTACACTTGCATTTTCACAGAAAAGGCAAAAAATTGAAGTCGCTTGCATTTTAAGTTTTTGACAACCTTCGGAAGGCTTGACAGCACGTTCACAAGGCAAGTTTCAGTATGTGCAGATGTTTTTTCACAGTGTTGTATAAATTTACTAGATTCATTAGCAATTTCCTGAAGGGTCATATTATATATTTTTCAGTTATTTTCAATCTTTTGACTCTATTCGATTTCTTAATCTATCTTCATAGTTTAAATGTATTCTTGAAGAATTGATTGGTATTAGTGTCCTAATTATTAATACATATTTTGTTCAATAGAAATGTGTCTGCTACTGGCCTAGAAAAGATGTGACAGCCAAAGTAAAAAATCAGGTGCTCGCCGTCATGAAATTGAGTGACTAATCTAGAGCTTTGATTATTAATTACCTGTTAAAATACAGTGTGCCATATGGAGTATCCTATTTATCATTATGCATATTTAGATATATTTTAACTTTTATAAATAGTAAAGATTAGAAACTTCCAGATGCTCAACCGGGATTCATAATAATGCTTTTTCAGACGTAATTCTTTGATCGTAAATTTATTTGAATATGAGCTTTCAACTGCCAGTCTGCAGTCTTTGACCACAGACTTTAGGACCAAATTTAACAACATTACAGTAGTACAATATAGTAGTATTCTATCTAAATAGCAGTTAAAATAAAGTGTATGGCAGCTGAACTGACTTTTAAATTGACAGTGTTCCTAAATCCATCAAACATTTACATATCATGCAAATACTGTATATTTTCACTAGCAGCTACAGGTAAATCGAGGAATGCACATTTGCCCGATGCCTTATTGAATTCCATGCAATGACCTGGGTCTCAGCCAATGAACTCAGAGTCCACTGGTCTCAGCAGCAAGCTTTCGCAGCTCATGCCCGTGATTTACCTGTTTGCACTACAGTAATAATATTTTTATCCAGGCTGCTATGATGTTGTAAGATTCCTCATGTATGGAACGCCATACTGGACAAAATTACTTTAGGATTATATACGTAAAACTTCTCTCGCGTGTACATCTTATCTGCATTCTTGCGAGGCTTGAATACACGCGTATAAAACATCATGCTTCGCGTGTAAATCGGCTACTGTACTAACTGTGCGCAATACTTAGAAATATCCCCGTAATACTTGAAAACATTGCCCGGAAACGTTAAACCTCGCCCGTATGACTTCTAAATGTGGTCCGTAAGACTTCTAAATGCGGTCCGTAAGACTTCTAAATGTGGTCCATAAGACTTCTAAATGCAGTCTGTAAGACTTCTAAATGTGGTCCGTAAGATTTTTAAATGTGGTCCGTAAGACTTTTAAATGTGGTCCGTAAGACTTCTAAATGTGCTCCGCGCGTAATATTTCTTGGCCGTAATTTAATATGATCGTATTATATTTATAGTGGAGTCCGTACATATAACATTTGTTTACATTTACATAGTGTGTGATGTCAAAACTCTGCACGTATAAGATTACAGAATTACGCTATGCTCTGCGCATGATATTTTCCATTTGACTTTAAAAGGCAAACCTGAAACAAACTTTACCAATACGTATCATGGGATGAAAAAATCCCCCCGTCAACGTTCGTGAAATTGTCTTCCCTTGAATATTTCCAAAAATTGCTGTCAACATGCACGAGAGGAGACGAAAATGCATATATGCTATAGAGCGTTTGCATGCACATGAAGTCACAGCGGCTATGTTGGTGTTCAAATTCAAGAGAATTTTAATTAGACTCATTTGTCTGGAACACCAACATATAAAAGCCATGGCGGCCAGGGGAATGAGTGCAAACGCTTTATAGCGTAACTACCAGTCACGTGACTACCAGGCACCACAAGGAAACGTCATTAATGACATGCATGAGGTCCATTTCTAGTGATCTTACCACAGGAAGTTGGGCGAAGGCATGTTGTAAATTCTTCTAACTATTGTTCTCTGACGGCGTAATGCTCTTCCAATAGGATCTACTCTATTTATTGACTCACAAACTCGATGCCTTTGAACACGCAGCCCACGACCCCGCAAAGCCCCAAAGGTCATTGTCTCTCCGGCATTAGGTGTACGGGATACAATCTGCCTCACAACTTCATCAAGGTCATTGTCACTAATGTCTGAGAATTCACTCTCCCCAACAGCCCATCCAAGCCCAATCCTCCTCCTATGCAATGTACGTTCAGACACACTGAGCAATTTTGCAATTGAAACCCATCTAAATCCAATACTTTCAAAGCATTCTCTCTGGAATGTCGTATCTAGGTCGACCAACTGTTCCATTTCTCAATCGATTACAGCGATATCTCGATGAAGTGGTGAACGGCCCTTCAATGTAATGTATCCGAAAATGGGTAAGGGGACTAACAGACATTTCTTCTAAAAATCAAACATGCTCGGTAACTTCTGGCATCCTTCTGGGTAAAGTTCTCAAGAACCCTTAATCCTAAGGCGCCTACTGTATACTTAACAAGTATTAATGTCGTCTGTGAATTTGTGAACTTCACATTCTTCATTTAAAGCTGGCAATCCTAGTAAAACCCTTTCTATTTCGCCTTCCATATTTCCCAAACATCTGATAATGGCGTCCAATTATTTTGTAATTGTTTTGTTTTCATGTTAAAGTCATTACAAATTCACATTTCTTTATTTAAAAGTCTTACGCACAGAACGTTCAAGTTTATAGACAAGTAAACAAGTATTATGTACGGACTTCACAAAAAATATAATACTTTCATAGTAAATTACGGTCAAGAAGTATTACGCGCGGACCATATTTAGAAGTCTTACGGACCATATTTAGAAGTCTTACGGACCATATTTAGAAGTCTTACGGGCGAGGTTTAACGTTTCCGGGCAATGTTTTCAAGTATTACGGGGATATTTCTAAGTATTGCGCACAGTTAGTACAGTAGCCGATTTACACGCGAAGCATGATGTTTTATACGCGTGTATTCAAGCCTTGCAAGAATGCAGATAAGATGTACACGCAAGAGAAGTTTTACATATAGAATCCTAAAGTAATTTTGTCCAGTATGGCGTTCCATACTCATGCTTGGAACAATTTGAACAGGTCGAGTGTTACAGAAACCAGATAACTGATTGGGTTAGCGAGTAACAACTCCCACTTTGACCCTACCCTCTTACTACAGTATTAGACAGATTTTGAAAATATACAGCATTAGCATAATATGTAAATGTATTTATGGATTTAGAAGCACTGTCAAACAAGATATTGAACAGTTCAGGTACCATACACTCTATTTTAACTGCTACACTGTATTGAATTGGTCCTAAAGCCCATGTTTTGACAGGTACTGTACATAAAGTTGTACTTATGTACGAGTCAAGTCCAGTCGCTATCACCCACCTCCTGGGCAACCCATGGGGAATTTGACTTTTGAAAAAATAAGTAGTCAAATGCCCGCCCAAACAGACAGAAACCACAGTCAAATGCCCTAGCTGCTATAGGGGTAGTCCTGGAATTTTGTCTAAAATTTATAAATTAAACTATTATTGACAATGGCAATTGTGGTGTGTGGGTTTCAATAGAATACCGAAAATGTATGAAAACTCACCTTTTAAAATTAATTCTGCAAACGAATTTGCCAATACAGCTTTTCGGACCGTTTTCCCTTCGTTCCAAACTTTAAATAATGGCATAATGATATCATATGTCTATGATTGATTCTAGAGGACTGATTTGAAAAGACGAAAAGTAGAAAACTCCCCAAGCGCTAGAGTGTACACATATTTTTAGCGAAAACCACTAAGAGTGGTCAAATGCCCGACCGGGCAGAATAAATTTCCGTCAAATCCCTGCTTGTACCGCTTGTGTGGGGAGGGGGGGGGGGGGAATGATTGCGTTTGGATTTGTTTCGCACATAAATACAAGTATAAATTAAACTATTCTACGGATATAGCTACTAAGACAGTTTTATAATTACAAAATACTGTAGTTCCACTTATGTCTGACATAAACAAGACTGGTGTTCTTATAAATATAAAACTAACTGTTCTTTAGTAAGAATCTATGTTCTGGTAAGTGTTGTGCATTGTTGTCAGAATTCAATGTGGTGCTGTATGCCAGGCCTCCAGTGTGCTCTGCCTCTGTGTGGATAAGTTGCCTGGGCTATGATTTTGCATCACTTTAGTCCTGAGTTTAAGCATGCTTTGTCCGGCCACAATAAAGATTCTAATGCTAAAAAAGAACAGTTACAGTAGTTTTATATTTATAAGAACAGTTAGAACACTAATTTTATAGCAGTTTACACAGGCAGAACTATTTATTCTTGTTATATTATTCATAGAATAGTTTTATATTTAGTACACTTTACCTGTTGAAGACTGCAAACTCAAGCAGTCTAAAGCTTGTGTTCAAGTGAAGATCTCATTCTGCTAATTTAAAGTAGTTTTTATATATTCTTTGTAATCACTAGTGCTGACTAGCATTTTGAACCTATATATTGTTTGTGTAATGTATTAATATTCTCTGAATATAATTTTTAAATTGGTTGATAGACACATATAGCACGGCAAAAGAATATCTAAAAACCGCTAAGGAAACATCTAATGTTGAATCTGGGAAATCAGATGGAGAGAATGACCCACGTAAGTGAAGGACAAAAAAATACAATGACTACGTCGTCCGTAGCCAAAGTAGTACCGGTGAAAGCAACCAGGGTAAGTTTCATATGTCATTGTAATTATTACTTGATAATATCACACCATACTCAATAATATTATATCATACGTCCTCCTCACCAATCGGCAGGACCTAGAAATACGACTGCAATGACTGCATTATGTACATTATTTAGCATCCCGAATTAATGTTGCATGTATTGTTATTATGTGTGAACCATTTTTAGTGATTGAAGCAAGTAAAATTTCATTTCACATTCTACAGTACACTGTACAGTACTTTCCAGTTTCCCCAACTTCCATGAGTGTTTAATTACAGTATAAATGTATGTGTATCATAAAAGGAAGAACCGAAGAAATACAAAGAAATATAAAGTACCACATATTCAAATAACTTTTAGTTGTAATGAGCTACACGTAAGCGTGGAAGGTTTTCCATTCAATATCAACACGGAAATACGTTTTATAACTTTATAATATACGACTAGGAAACAAATAATAGAACAGGAGAAAATGATGAATAAAACTAAATTCTAGAGCGACAGGAAATTTCTGTATTAATTGACAATAAGTTATCAAAATGGTTCATGACCAACTGGCATTCAGAGTTTAAAAATGCTATATTACCTGTATAATGCATTATATGAAAGAACTACAGTGTATACATGCTTTAGGTGATGAAAGTGATGAAAGTAACGAGGTGGAAGGGAAGCGTAGAAAAACATCTGCCACAACTTCACCACCCTGTCTCCCTTTGGCACCTACCGTCTTTGGTACCCGAGCCCAGGAATTGCAAGAAAGTCCTCCGGTTCCAAGCATATTTCCAGAGCTTACCTTGGATGATGAAGTCGTTTTTTAAGCAGCAGTAAGGATGATTAAAAATACCTTAGGGCTTAGGAGTTAATTGCTCACAAATTTGCATAATGTAGCTTACAAAGTATACAAGTTTTGACCAATTTGCTTGGTTTTATTTTGTCATTACAGTTGCTGCAACATTTGCACCTGCGTGTGCAATGATGACATCAAATATTGCTGAAAGTAAGTGTCAAATGTTTAGACATTGTGAATGCGTAGAGATCTAATACCCAAAATTTATGTTTTCTGTTCACACATTAGTGTACTGTAACATATCCTTGTTTTTTTCTTCTTAAATTTATCAGCTAATCGTGACAAAAGTGCGTTGGCTGGAACATGTTCTACAACTGGCGAATATTCAAGTCACAAAGAAAGCCGTATTGATGGCCTTCAAAGTATGTTAAACAATTTATTAATTTGAGTAATAAATTTATATCATTTAATTTGTTACATGTACTTTGTTTAAAATCTAATATCTGGTGATTGTGGTGTATTATATGGAACTCAGGTGTTATAGTATTTGTTCATGCTACTCTGAGTGCTCAGTGTGGAGTGTGCCCTCGGGCAGTGGATGTAGGCAGTCAGATAAACCAATTATGAACACATGGTTGCATGGAGCAGTGCTACAGTATAACATAATGCTTAAAAAAGCTGTATTGTAGCTTTAGTTGCTTCCTTCCTTGACAGATTCTACCCTGGAGATGACCCAAACTGTGAGGCCAATGCGACCAACTCAACAGCGTGACGGTACGTTTTACATGTGTATGTTTATGGAACAGTCTGGATTGCTAATAGTATTTGCTATGCGACTTGATAGAGAATATACTGTGTGGTGAATAATTCTTCCTGGATTCAGGTTGAGTTTTTTAGTGACAGCATTCTTTTTCCTTAGTTCTGTCATGTGGTGTTGGTTCAAGACAAGACCTTGGTACAGGAAGACCTCTTAGTCGGCAAGAAGGCAAGTGTACTGAGCCTTGCTTTAAATAACTTAATTAAATCCGTTATGGTGGAGTGTACTGTATGATAACCATGATTAATGTAGGTGAAAAAAAAGTGTGGAAAAAAAAGTGTGGTCTCAATCTCGCAATGTATTTTGTGTTTTCTTCTGGTGCGATACAGTAATTGTAATATGACATGTTAAGATACAGGGATTCAATTTTTTGGACTGTTAATTCAGATTTGACTGATGCGTATTTCCTTCCTGGGGGGACACCAAGATCGTCTCGACCACATGACAGTAAGTTTAACTATTAATGTAGGACACTGCTTTAGGAGAATTGATTTTGTCTTGTTTTATGTACTTTGAGCATGAATTACATGTTAAAACAATAGATTATTTTGTTCTGTATATAAGAGATGATTCATTGTAATAAATTCTGCGTGCTGATTGGTTAAGCAACATGCTGATATAACTGAATTCCAAGCATGAAAATTTCCCGCTTCCAACAATTCTGACCTCTTTAGATGTTTGCTGGTGATCTGGATAAGATGAGCTATCTGCTAATATTGTGCTGAGTGGTTATGTTACTACCTACCTTTTTTAAGGTAGTAATATAACCACTCAGCACAGCATTTTCACATTGGTACTACCTACACTGGTACAGACAGTTTTAGTATATATGCTAATATTCCTTTCACATATCTTTAAGACCTCCAGACGACCGTTCTAATGAAGCTGGAAACAATCATTGATAATCAAAATGAAAGCCTGCGCATGCTCAGACAATTATCAACGGCCACTAGGGGTGTTGGTGGCTCTGATATTATGTTAGAAGATATACTACCAGAGTCAATCAATGAAGTAGTGGCATTTAATGCCCTGTGCGAGCAGCTGCCAGATGACGAATTTAAAAAGAAAATGGTAAATAAGCTTTCTTAGATATAACTTTTGCCTTTCATTTACAGTCTTAGACAAATTCTTTGTTAACTAATACAAGTGCTATTATGTTTTGCCTAGATTAACTTCTGCATCGCATCGTGTGGTAGCGATGTAGGAGTGCTAGACGCATTTTGGCAAAAATAGGAATAAACGTGCTATGGTCGGAGTACAGTCTAAAAGGAGTCCGAGGAAAGATATCCTTCAAGGCTACACTAGTATGCCGAGTTGTGAAAAGTATGTAACCTTTTTCCCTTTTTTAACGTTTTACCAAGACGGATTTTCATTGTGTAGGAGACGGTGCATATCATCCCACCTGTCATACTGTAGCTAGAGTACTGCATGTGCATGTAGGTACGCTGAACCGTTTTCGTACTGTTTCAGATGATTAGATCATTGTCCACGGTGAACAATGCGGAAGCAAACGTAGTCTATCGGTGGGATTGCAGTGGCAATTAGCACCATGACCATAATGGGAGTCCTTCGTCACTACTTTATCTTTGTTGAGATGCGCAAAGTTATAGCGAATGTTAGTTGATAAAATCATTCTATTGGTCTGATTAATGGTTGGTTAAAAATGACTGTTGCTACACAATCGTTTATGAATTCATTCCATTGAATTGTGTCCAACACTCGTGTTTGGAAAGCAATGACAACTGTTAGCCACGCCAAGCAATAAATTATTTGACTAAGTGAATGCTTACTTGAACTTTGCATATTGAACTATATGATATGTCTATGCTTTACTGTCCACGCTGCTAATAAAAATGTGTGAATCTATTTTAGAAGCATGTCTAAGACCCACAGGAGTACCGAGATTGAGATAGAAAATCACATTGGTGAATACTTAAAGCATGCACCTCACAAACCTGGCGGATCCAAATACAAGGTAATTTCTCCGATTTAACTTCGTTTCTTATAGTTACTGTATATTCGCTATCGACTTCGTTGCAAATCATATCCATACCGGATATTTTTATAATTGGATAATATTGGATAATTATCCAAATTCATATTGAATAATTTATAAATTATTCATATTGGATAATTTTCCAAATTCTTCCGGTCACGCGCAACCTCGGAATTTCCTAAGAAATCACTTTGCAATTCTTAAGCATAAAAGAGTTTAGGCCCCTGGGAATTGAAATCGAATTTCTAATAGATCATATTACTGTTGTTGTACTGTTAAATAAATGCATAAATTTTGCTTTATGCACTCGCGTGTGCAGTAATTTTGACAGTTGTGCTATTTTAAATTCCCAGGCACCTAAAATCTTTTGTCCTTAAAACAATGTCGATTGGTTGGGAAATTCCGAGGTTGCATTTTTTTTATACACCCTGTACAGTATAGTCGGTTTGCGCAACAAAATTCACTTTAGCCTCTACAGTGACAGTGTGTATCAAGAAAAAGTATAGCCTTTCAAATTTAAATCAAGCATAATGCCGTATTCTATTGAATTCATCTGATAATTTATATAATACCATAGTTGCCTCGAAATCCTTTGTCTCGCCAGGTACGATTAATCACTAATTTACCTCATTACCCATGCATACGCTTTGTCTTCTAAATTTCCCTCATCAAGCATGCAAGGGAAAATTAGAAGACAAAGAAATCTTTTGTTTTCAACTAAATTTCCCCGGGAAATTACTCATTACCTCTGATTGTCCTCATTACCTCTGATTGGAGAGCTGTACCTCATCGAAAATCATCGGCACAACTATGGACAGTATCTGACGACACCGTCCCGTACACTAGGGATGGGCCGATATCGATACCAAATACTCGATACTATCAATACCTGGGTTTTGAAGAAAAGTATCGATACAGGCAGGAAATATCGATTGTTTCGATACTTCTGAGCCTGCGATATTTTGTCATTGTGGTCAGCGGATTCATCATGAAAATGATGCCAAAAAGCCTAAATAGGCGTAAATACTATCAAAATAGTTCATTTTCTGTGGTGCTTAATGGTCCACGGGCAGGATCAGAGTTTGTGGTTATGTTAGTTACAATCATGAAAATAAACATGTTGAAAACGTATTCAACCAGCATGATTTTGGCGTCGAAGAAATGAAAATAGTCTTTTCTTGTTGTGGTTGTTCGAGTTGGGAAAATATCGGTATCGATATCGAAAAAAAATGGCAAATATCGTATCGAATGAAAAAAAGCTGGTATCGCCCATCCCTACCGTACACATTCGAACAATCACTTTTCCAGCTTTTATTCCCTAATCTTGAATATTACAATTGTGGGAGAAAATTCCGTTTATGCGCATGCCTAAAACGAATGAACACGGAGATGTGTTTCTGCGCGTGCATATATATGAAAAGTGTTTGTACCACAATCATAAGACAATCAAACAGCATTCAAAACAGGCAACACACCACGCGCGATTCCCTCGGCAACTATGATATTACAAAGTAATAGCATGGCATTACGGTCGATTAGTGATGAAATGTCCCTCAAGCCTCGAGAGGTTTAGTAAAAGTCACATGACTTTTACTAAACCTCTCTCGGCTTTCGGGTACATTTAATCACTAATCACGCTGAATGCCATGCTATTACTTATAATTGCTTCGAACAAGTTTGGGAGCCTACATGTACGAACAACTCAATGAAATACCCTGTACAGTACAAACAGCATTATTAAAATGAAGTTTTCTCATTGATCTCTTTTGTAAATAAGACCTGTTTTCGTCGCGTTTCATTAACTCAAAGCAGGTGAGAACAATCAAAACACTTATATAATTTCGTTAATTTGAATTTGAATGGCTATACTTTTTTTATACACACTGTATAATATTTCTATTACTTTTGTTCAAATATCATTGTATTCTACCATCATAAATATTTTGTACTATTTTCTCTTTTATCCATATGGCATATTTACTTAAATAATATTATATTATGATTTATGTATTTATACCATGTATGAACGTTTTGCTGAAATAGCCAATAAATATATGTCATTATATAAAAGTTGCAATTGTATGAGCGCATTGCTTGAATAAATTAACGTTTCATGAACGTTGTGAAAACTTTTTTCTTACGTTGTCTTACTACATTGTGACAACGTCCTCTGGAGTCGACAAAATCACGTTCAGCACACGTAAACTCACAACGTTTTATTCGCGTATTAGCGGAACGTTCTAAAAACGTTGTGAGAACGTTCTTCTTATGCTACTGACTACGTTGTGACAACATCCTCTGGAGTCGACAAAATCACGTCCAGCGCACGTAAAGAGACAACGTTTTACCAACGTAAGCTGCACGTTCTAAAAACGTTGTGAGGACGTTTTTGTGCTAGCTGGGTAATGCTTTTCAATTTAATTTCCTAACATCCCAATTTTCTTCATAGATTCTTTTTAAATGCAATGAAAATGCAATTTCTTTTATATTTTCTAAAATATTGTTTTCTTAAATGCATCAGTGGTAACATCAACATCCACCATATTTTTTTTATATGGTGACTTTGGAACAAGTTTTTTTAGAGCTACTTATTTGTTATCCAAGTGATCATTAATTTAATGATTACTGTTTATTTACAAACTGTTTTTTAACAAAACCAAAAAATTAAGGTTGATTTCCTGTACATATAGTAATGGTAATTTGTGTTTCTCTTTGATTTTCAGGTGACTCCCTGTTGTGCTCAACTTATGATGTAAAACATAGGTCAATCCTAAACGATTCAAAATTCTTCAATGTGATCGGTGGGATGGATCTTGATGTAATGCATGATCAGTTGGAGGGTCTGTTTCTTATTGAAGTTACATTATTACTGAAAAAAAAATTCAAGTGGATAAACACTTCACTGTTGAGATGCTTAATCAGCTTATAGAAGTTTTCAACTATGGAGTGGCAGAAGTCAAGAACAAACCCAGTGCAGTAAAATCTCAGTCAGTCAAACAGGTACATTTATGAAGATTAACTTCCATATTTACCTACTACTATAGAGGGCAATCCAGCCAAATGTGCCCTACTTTAGTATTTATTATGGTTAATACTAGACAATTTTACTGGTCAAGGTAGAGTACTGCCAGTTAATAAATTAAATATTACCTAGCTCAAATGTGCAATCTAAATTTTTACAGCCACCCAAATGTGGTGTTTTGCTTGGTTGTTAATCAATTGCCATTGCTTATTAGAGATTTGGTACCCGAGGATGACCCAAACTGGAAAACTACCTTCGGTTACTTAAGATTGAAGAGATGGTCTTTGCTCAAAAGACAAGGGTGGAGCTTGCTGCATATTTGAGTGTTCTTATTGCAGAATACTTGGAAGAATACACAAAGTCGTATGAGAAATAACTGGCGCACGAATATCCACCATCCTCATATATTGTAACCAAAGTGAGGCTGTGCAGCTGCCTTCTTTGACCAATAATCTTTTAATGTTAACACAATCTTTAATAACCTTCAGAATGTCAGTTTCAATTACCTCCTTGACGGTCTTCTTTTTGCCTATAAGATCATTAAGCAATGCATGTGCCTCTTCTATCTTTGCTTTAACTGTCTTCAACTAAAAAAGAAAGCAGTATACAATATATTACATATTTTACATGCAGGTGCGCTTATGACAAATGGGTTGTAACAGACATGACACTAATAATATTATCAAGTAATTATTTGGCTTCAAAGATAAAATAATGAATCTTACCTAACATATAGTTGTTACCGCTGATGTACAGGCAAAATTTTCACAATTGCTCTACAAGAAGGACTCGATTGAAGAACACTCCTGTACTTCATCTACGAAATATAATAACAAACATAAGTTGCACGTCGAACATCATGAGGAATGGGTACTCCAAAGGTTGCTGAGTAGAGGAGAGCATTTAGAGCGGCGTCGACTATGAAATGTCCCCGTACTGTGTGTGCGATAGCTTTACCTGTCAATATATGGTCGACATCATTTGATGCATATATTAGTTACAAAACGTCTCTCAGCCCTGAACCTGCCATAAGATATCCGATAGATCCTAGAAAGCTCATTTCCATGTGGAAACCACCCAAGCGTATGATAACATTGCATAACTTGCTACCAGCGGGTTCGGTTTCAATAATAATTGGTTTCACATTGTTTTGTGATGCTTGGCATGATTAGATATGTACTTCAAGGTTGCAAATCTGCATCACAGTCTGCATCATTCCAGACCAGGATGGTCGTGTTACGCCAAAAAGAAGAGAGCATTTCCACAGGATCTCCAGATTAGCAGTCTGATCAAACACTTCTTTAATCAAGATATCTTTGTATTTTAGATCCAAGCTTTGAAGTATAGGCTGTGTTAGTGTTTGGACTTTTCCTGATGATGCCATGAAAGGTGTGATTTCCATTTCGGGTATGAGTATTGTGGTCGACGTTGTCAGCTATGTACTGCACAAACTGTCCATCATAGGCTGGTATATCTGTACCCTGATCTAAACCACATTCTGATGATATAATAATACTTCGCTAAAGATGAGCAGAAACCGTGTCGACTGAGAGTCTATCAGGAACCGTGATGCGTATCCATGATGAAGCTGAACACCGAGACCAATTTGTAGTGGTGCAATAACTACTCGCAGTCAAGCAGCCTGTATGATTGCATGACCTATCGATGCCAGTTTTAGTGAATTTTTTCCAAGAAAGATTCCCTCCATCAACAGAATCAGAGACATGAGAAGAAAACTAAGCGATGCCTCCACATCAATGATTGGGTACTTGTTGTTAGAGGTTTTTATTGCCTTAGCTTCGCGTTTTTGTCACTGAACGGCAAACCGGAAGAATATCACATGATTGTTTCCTGCCGTTTTCTTTGTGTTTGAAGTTGGGGTTTTTACGGCAGAATCAGACTCTGCGGTAAGTGAATTCCCTCAAGATTTTAAACGTACTTAAATTTCTGTATTTCACGTTTAGGTGATAAATTTACATTCTTAAGAATGTGTCGGAAAAATAGTATTAGTAAGGGAAACTGTATCGAATTGCAAAGGCTTAAACAATGTGCACTTCATATCAAGCAAAACAAACATGGCTGCCAGGAATGTGCTAAAATGTCTTGCATGTCTGCTTGCTTGCTTAACTCTTTTGCACCCATTCGAATTCGAACAGAGCATTTTTTGTCGCTATGGCAACCTTGAAAGATGTGAGGGCTTGTATTTTATTTAGCCTGATAGCCAATAGGATTGCGAAGCTAGAAATCCTAATTGCTGGTTGGCTGCTGTTGAATTATATCCATAATTTATGCAAATTTGCAAACTAAACATTGTGTGCCCGGAATTCAATATGGTGTCTTCTACTTCAAATACAAGTGATAGATTTTCTGCTCAGGAAGTGCTTGAAATGTCCGTTCAAAACTCCAACGAAGCTGGAAGTGATGTAGATAGTCACCATGAAGGGATGTCTAGCGACGGAGTGATCTCGATCGAGAACTAGAGGAAAATGACGAGAGTCGGGCGGTGTGTGCATAACAACCGCTAAGCACGATGGTTGTAGATTTTAAAGATGGCGACCAATCACGCTGAATTCGGTAAGTTTAATCTCTTATTTTTTATGTTAGTGATGGCATGAAACTGTATGAAAAGCAATTTAATGCCTTTAGCATTTATTTCTGAAGATGGAACAGCATTTCCTGGACGATATGCCGTGTCCAACCGGACTGTATTTTTTAAACAAACATGGCTCGTTTTTTACAAGTTATTTGATGTCCTTTTACTTTAATGTGTAATTCAGTATACATTACTGTTTGAGTGGTTAAAATACTCGTAACTGTTTGTTCAAACGTTCAACTAAAGTTATTTTGTTACCGCTCCCCAATGCTCCCCGTTGTGTTTCCCGTTTTAATTGATATAAAACATGACAATTTTGTTATTTTGACAGGTTGATTCAATAATATGGCTGCCAAAAGACCTTGTGTTGTCGAAGGCAATACACCAGGGAAACCAACCAGCAAACGACCGGTCGAAGGAAAATCGAGAAGATCTTTGTTTAATAATGAAACGCAATACGCAGAGGATGAAACTAAAGTATCTTTCGCTTGCAAAACAGAAAATTGGACTCTTAAAGAGACATCAGCATTGGTGCAGTATATCTGTTTATTTTGGAAGGACGCCTGGAACAACAGATGGCCAATGGCAAAGGACTTTTGGGACTCTTGTGCACGAGCTGTCAACAATGTTTGCCAGTCAAATAGAACAGGTTTGTGGATTATAGAATTCAGATTTGCTATCCATTTTCAACTCTGCAAAAAATAAAGTGTGGTATTTAGTGTGTCTATCCCGTATCCCACAATTCTTCAAAATATGTATGTAATCCAGGGTTTTGAAAGGCAGGACTTTGTGTTTTATACTTATTGAAGAATTTTCTTACCATCACATCATTTTTTTGTCAGGAGCTTCATGCAGAACTAGAGTGACTAAGCATTTGTCAAAGGCGTTTAACTCATTGTCCAAAGCAGAAGAAGCCTTGCAGATAGATTATGTTGGTGGGAATAATTTTGGCCGTGGTGGTATATTCAACACTGCAAGCAGCACCCCACATCATTCAACCATGGTAGATGAACCATTGTCACCAGTGTTTCAGTCATCGCCAACAGTAAAATAAAATACTAATCCACATCTTACTTTAAAGCTAGCTTGGATAACAAAATTATTCCAAACACCTTTCTTGGAAATATTTAGAGTTATGTAATATCCTGCTAATAAATATTTTACACATAACCGCACATGCTTCACTGAAACATCCAGTGCGGACTCTTTTAATGGGCCATGCAAGTACATAGTCAGTTCTCTTGGGATGTAACCAACTTTTTCATATTCGTCTTCTGTCATTGCGTACACAGCAATGGCATTTTTGTCTACATAGTTATCTGGCTCTGCCACTTATTTTAGCAAAAACTGGTCTGTTGTAAACATGGAGGAAATCATACGCTCTTTCAAGAGCTTTTTGTCTTGATGATGAGTAACATGTTCCAATGACTTTAAAAGGCAGACAATGTACTGTCTCTTCATCATCCCTGCCACTTGGTCTTGGCTGAGTTGGCTGATGCTCAACAGGTTTGTGAAATGGCTTGTAACTATCTAGCTGCCAAAGCACTACATAATTCATCCCATCAATCATCATGTCACAATGTGATGTGCACATATATATATATATATATACCAGGTCTTGCATTTGAATGCTCTTTTGCATTAATCAAACCTTGACATTCCTTACCATTCCAGACAAATTTCACCTTAATTAGATCAACTGTCAAGACTGGAAAGTTTGGTATCACATAGGGAAAAGACACTCTTTCAACAGTGGTTATGTGGACTTCACGTATGTCTTGTGCTTGAAAAGAATGTAATTAAAATAACTTTGTGTTACGAAAAAGTAACAATTTCATAGATGGATTTTCATATTTATTACTGGGGTGGTGCCAGAAATTTTAGGGGGGTGAGCCGTGAGCAGGTGACTGAAGCAACACAAACTGTCACCAAACCCCAATAAGGTCTATATTCTAGGGGTGGAACACTAGAGCCGTGAGGGGGAGTCTAGAGAGCAGAAAACAAAGTATCCCAGGGAAAATTTGAAAAAAATCATGATTTCTTGCTTCGAAAAAACATTTTTTGAAGTTGTCAATTTGTCATATCAATGGACTTGGCATGTCTGATTGTCTGTTGAGACTTGAGAGAGTTTAAGACTTAAAGTTAAATGAACCTGTAAAAGTATAAACCCAGTAGGCCAATACACAATATGCTTTTACTTTTATAAAGTCATTGACATTGTGTTGTTTGAATCCAAGTACAATTTATGATGCAACTCCGATGTAAATAATATTTGGGGTGTAAAGATTAAATCTAGACAAGTATATTTCCTAAAAGAATTAAAAACTAAAAATAGTGTTCGTAAAAATTCCGAACATTCCTTGCGTGCAAGCTCTTCGCATGACAAGGCACTGCAAACTCTATTAAGGGAAGATAATAGAGTTTCAAAACTTTACAATTGCTCCAATAAACCAGTGAATGCAAGCAAGGAGCGATTAGTTTCAGAGTGTTACACTGTCTTTTTCTGTTCAAGTGTACTCCTACGTTTATTTTGTATCATCAACACTCTGCACGTTGGAGTGGACTATTTAATTATTTATTTATTATGCCGAATATTGGGGGGGGGGGTTGAAAATTTTTTGGAGGGTGGACATTTTGTGTTTTTTTTGGGGGGGTTATAGCTAATATTGGGGGGTAGCACCCCCCAGAAAATCTGTCTATGAACAATTTAGAAAATCTGTCTATGAAAATCTGTCTATGAACAACTAGACAGAGGCCTCCTTAAACTGAGAATTACTAACAAGGAAAGAGAATACACAACCTAAATAATAGACATTTCTGGTAAATTTTTCTTACATCGTCACAAAAGTGTATTAGTAATATGACCTAAAACAAAGTAAACATTCCATAACCAAACTGTAACATGCATAGCAAGGTAGTAATTCTCCCTCAACTGATATTACAGATCCTTAGAATTTACCATTTGTTGTAGCAGATGCTTCTTGTTGACTATGCGATGTATCATCACAAACCTAGAACAATGGCAAGTACAATTTCTGTTAGGTCAGTCACTAACATTTGTTTGTAAATCTCTCAAAAGTATTTCACCTTTACCTGTTTATCATTAGCATGTAGGGAATGGCTATTGACTTTCATGCGAGTGGTCATATGAATATTCCCAACAGTCAGTTCCTGTGAGAACTCATCAGCTAGTAATCTTAAATCTAATGTTAAGGAAACCTGCACAAAATGTCAAAATCATACATCATCACAAACGCATGTGAACAATACAATTTATTGATTAAAGGATACTTTCCACACAGTAGCTGCAATTCCACTGCTGAAGCTGCAGATTCCCATTTTCGTAGAGGTACTGTTTTTCCAGCATTGACATCAAAGACAGTTTGATCTAAAAATACTGACATGGCATTAGCAAAACATTCCTTATAATCAGCTGGTGCACCTCTTTTTTCTAGTGTGTGGAACAAATCATCTTTGGAACATATTAATTTGTATGCAGTATGGATACCAACACCACAGACATTTTTTAGGTAATCACACCGAGCTAAAATACATAAACTCTGGAACTGTTCGAAATTTAGCTTCAATCCTTCCAGTATGTTGGTCAGACTCAAATAACAGCCTTCACAATGCGTGGGTCATTCGTCCATTCGATTTTTTCATAAATTGAAAATTGAAAATTGCATTCAATTTTCAATTTTTAATTTTTCAATTCGTAAAAATATATAAAAATAAATTTCGGACCTTTATTTTCATGTTTCTATAAGACAAAATTTGAAAGAAAAAATCACACTTTCGAAATTTCCTCTTTACTATGGTTATAGATTTTCACCATTTTTCAATTTATTCTATATACAGTGTTTGTACAAAATTAAAAATGCAATCAATTTTCAATTTTTGTTTTCGGGGAAAAAATCGAAAATTGATTGCACTCCGCTATTTCCGGTAGCAAAACTTGCTCAGGGGTAGAAGATGGGGATGCTTGTTCAAAGAAGAAATGGCGGGAATCTTCGATAAACAAACCTCGAAACAAACATGGACGAAGTTAATCTAGAGCACATAAAAGATCTCGTTGTAAAGCAAAGAAAAACACACTCTGAAGTAAGCTTGATATTACAAGAAGCATTTCCAGGAAAAAGAGGGCTTAGTGAAAGATCAGTAAGAAGATTTTGCTGTGAGAATGACATACACTCACAACAACGCGTATCTAATCATGATTTGGAACAGTGTGCAAGGACAGTTGTCGCAAAGGTAAGAGACTAGTAGGGCCTGTTTATATGATCTCGCCTAGTGTTTATATGGACAAAATACATTGCCGGTGTCCCAGGATTTTCTTTATTCCAAATATTTGCCACTTTATAACTAGTCCTGGAGACAACACGGATGGCAACCTTGCAAGCCAGGGTCCTCTATGCAGATGGATGCATTGACTATCTGACTGGCATGTCACCAGATGAGCCCATAGTCTCTTTTCATACAAACTGGTTAACATGCCAGTGTATAATTATGATGCTGCTAAGAAGCCTTATTGCCTTAAGGGACTAGGCTGTCTGAAGCAGCCCATTGTCACCCTGAAATACTGGTCATGAACTCTGAACCATGGTATTCTGTACTGTACTGTACAAATGTATAACTGTGCAGTCAGGGGCGTAACTTGAGGGGTGTATGGGGGGGGGGAGTTTTTGGCAGGGCAATTCTGCCAGACACCCCGCTAATTAAAAGGGACTAGTTTTGCCCCTGTGTGCAATAATTAAATAAATACTGAACTATGTCTTCACTATATCTAAAAGGTTATTTCTTCAGCAATGATGTTGGCAGTACAGTCTGCAAAATGGAATCTTATCTGTTCTCTAATTCTGAGTTCTCCACTCAACTTGCATTGATGCATTCATTTTGCTAACTTTTTGAATAAAAAGATTAAATCTACTGTTGCCAACAGTTGAGACTGAGGTATGCATGTTTTCTGGAATGAGCTGTTTTACCCTTTTATTTTAGGTTGGGCCAGCATGGGGCCGGAAAATGGTGAAGGGCTATATGAAGAGCATTGGCGTTACAGCCAGTGAAAAAAGCGCATTGGTAGAGCTTTGTCTGTAGTGTCTCCCATATATCAAGCCAAACAAAATGCCAATACAGCGAGACAAGTCAATCCAGTGCCTTATAATGCTGAGTATTTTGGTCACAAAATACATTTAGATCAAAATGAAAAATTGGCAATGTATGGGTTAACAGAGGTCTGTGCAGTTGATGGTTTCAGTGGTAAAATTGTAGCTTTTGCAACAATGCCAGTCAAAAATAATGTTCTCATTTATGAACATATTTACAGGTGAGCTTTCATCATTCACTATAAATTAATAAACATACATATATGTTATTTACCGGCTTCTGAGACCGAGGGAAAATATTTTTCAAGTACGGACTGACCTCAACGGTAAATAACGTATTTATTTTTTTGCTCGATGCTTAATTAAATTCCTAAAAACTCCAATGTTTATAATTCACTGCTTTAATCCAAGCATGGCTGACATCTTGCTAAAAGGACATGATAAAAAGCATTTAATTTTGATGCAATATAGATGCTTTTCTACTTAATAAAAGGTAAAGTGATTAAAACTATTTATTTTTCTAATCATTTTAGCCTAATAACATCCTTCAAAAATGTTGTTTCGACACACAACAAATTGTACAACATTTATTAAAAATAAGACTGAAATAAGTCTAGAAATCATGTTTAAACTGCCGTTTTGAAGTTTGTTCTTTTTTAAATTTTAT